CGAGAGGCGGTCGGCACCGGCGCAGGACCTTTCGCTTCTTCGGCCCCCCGCGAGGGACGACGCGAGGAGACCGGTGGACCCGGGGGAGCGCCGAAGGCTCCTCGGAGGTCGGGGGCGTCCTCCGGGTCGAAGGCTGTGAACGGTGAAGCTCTGAGGGGTGAAGAACTGTGTTCGAGGCCACAGGGTGGCTGGCTTGGGGATGGTGTCAAGCTGGCACCTGGCGCCGCCTGTGGGCAGAGTGGTGGGGAGAGCGCAGGGTGTCTTCTACACGATTCTTGGAGTGAAGTTATGGTGAGAGCATTCAGCCTTCTGCACACCAGGCAGGTGGACGTTAGGGATTGCAGCCCCTCGGTCTACAACTAACTCTAGTCCTTCATATGTGCGCCTACCTGCAGTGTGAATCTCTATGTCTCTGCGCGAAGTATGTCTGTCTCTATACCTTTTTTTTGGGGGGGGGTGATATGAATCCAGGGGACAGTCCAAGGGCCCGGTCACCCGAACATGCCCCATGCCGAGTCCCAAACTTCACGCAGACCTCCCAGGTACCTTCGATCCCGAGCCACAAGGTCTTGTTGATGCGCAGCACGTTGAAGGGATGCGGTCGAATGCCTCGGTAGCTGGGGCGGGGGGCGAGTCCAGCTGGGGGGCAGTGGTTTCGCCGAGCTGGGGGTCTGAACCTGAGCGGCGGACGACGGTCGGGACAGTGTTCAGCGCCCCAGAGCAAGAGGCCAGTGAGAAGCAGTCGGAGCGTCGGAGACATGTAGAAAATGGTAGAAGGTGTGGAAGCAGTAGGAGTCGGAGTCGGAACGACCCAGCCACTCCATGAGAAGCTGTGAGAAGCTGTGCCATGCTTCTGCTGGTCACTGATGATGGATCTCACGTTGCATGCGATGAACCGAGCTATCCTGTCCACCCAAACATCGTAGATCATCTGAGGCAGGGTCACAAAGCCCTTTCTTCACCCCCCTGGTGTCAAAACCGGAGTTGCATGGTAGCTGCACAACGAAGAGTGGGTCGAACGCCGGAACGCCTGCCACCACCTTTTGCATCCTCCAAGGCACGGATATGGAAGAAGTCCTGACGGGACAGATGCTCCATTGAAGACGAGTTCAGAATGGAAAGGCCGCTTCTTTGAAGGGACAAGGATCAAAGGATTATATATAGAGGGAGGTGATGTTTTCTATGTCGCTGGTTTTGCGGGATTCAATGCCTTAAGAATCACCATAGAGATTGCTTGCTGCCAGGCGTCCTAGGAATTTAGAGCTGTTTTGTTACCTATTTGGATATCTTCTATTCCCTACGAGCCAGTTGAAACTGAAACTACTTGGCCCCACACATGTGGCACAGTATGGCACACTCTTGCATGGGGGATGGCGCGAAGAACAAAGCACCGAGCGCATCAACAAGTTGATCTATCCAAGGGTCACGGAAAATGTGTTGACCAAGCAACAATGACTGAAGATCCCCCAATGGCAGCAGTTGGCCCTAACCAAACGTTCTCATGTACCAAATGTAAGCTACAGGATCCATTACTAGTAGCTTCTTGTTACTAGTAGTGATGGCCTCCAACCTGATAGCGACGGCCTCCAACCTAGTAGCGATGGCCTGCAACCTAGTAGCTACTTGTTCCTAGTAGATACTAGTGGTACTACTAGTAGGATATAATTCCCCGAAGGCGACATAATGTCATTGTTTCCAATCTCTCACCGACTTGCTGACCAATGTCCAGCGAATGGCAGATGTGGGTCAACCCATCCTCTCCCATAGCGTGCCACACCTGCTCAGAAAGATCTACATCACCCCCCTTCCCAGCCCTGTTTGCACCACCGCAGCACCAAGGCTCCTTCCCTGCATTGGTCACCATGTACTTGTTCACCGCGATACGTGCCGCTTCCAGGGCCTCCGAAGTCAACTGCTGGTCCTCGTCACAGACCAAATGCGCGGCGGCCGGAAACTCGTCGCAGGGCATCTTCTTCTTTCCTCAGGTGCAAGGTGTATTGGGTGGAGGCCATCGCAAGGAAAAAGAAGCTGCTAGCAAGGACAAGAATTGGAGAGAAGATCCGACTGCGGGTGCGCGGTTGAAATTGTCCAAACAGCGGGCTCAGGGTGGGAGCTTTTGGAAGAGCCAGCGAGATCCAAAACTGGAACGTCGCCTTTGGGGTCTTTGGTTCTGTCTAAGCAGCCGGCCTCTCACAGGTCCATACTTTGTTCATGGCCCAATGGAGATGTTCTCCGTGCACGGCTGTGGCAACGTTGTTCACCTTCCTCGACCCTCAAAGACTTACCCATGTCCCTGTCCCTCTTCCTCTTTGTTTGGCTTTCGATGATTGCGTGGGCCCATCCGATTGACTCCGATCGACTGGGGCCCATCCGATCGACTGGGCCCATCCGACTGCCTAGATCCTAAACCGGGCTGCCCGGCAGGCTGAACCAGCTAGCTAGAATTGAAAGCAACAACTGGAGGAGCACCATTCGTCATGATGAAGCCCAAAAGAGAGCCTACTGCTGGCTGAAGACGCATGCTCTGCCTCTGGTCGAGCTTTAACAACTAAGCTGCAGATCCGTCAAAGTGACGTGTCATTGTCCCAACTCGGAACATGTCAAGGCCGGGCTTGAAACAGAGGGACCCACAACTGGTGGCAGTCTGACAGCACTCAGCACTTCTTCGGTTTACCCCCGGTCACGTTCTTTCGGAATCGTCCAACCCCTCCTGGCCGCCGCCCTCTCCCACACCGTCTTCGCTCTTCGCCCCGGGCACCCACATCGAAGATCCGGATCTTGGGGTCGGGCACGCCTCGCCGAGACGCGCGGTGAAGAAAGAGAAGACTGAAGAGAAATCGAAGCGTTTTGAATTTTCCCCTGAAGCCAAGTGACCAAGTGGTCTCCGAGACGGGACATACATGACATACATGGAAGATACCAACACTTTTGGGGGAGAAGGGGGAGGGTGTGAATGGGTGAGTGTAAAGGAGAGAACCTCCACGGACGGAGAATCCCAAGCCCAGTACGTTGTTGACAAGTGTCCTGGCCATGTTCATGAACGAGGATGATCATATTACGGCTTATTGCGGTAGCCATTCAGCAGGGTATTTCAAAACTCCCGCCAAAGAATCACTAAACAAATGCCAACAACAACAGGAAAACTGTTCACACGAAGCTTAAGAACTCATCACCGCGCCAGAACTAAAAACTTGAGAATCCGCGCTGGCCATCCGGCCACCTTCGTCCAACTCCTCCCAAACAAGTTCGAAGCACGCCCAGGCACCTCGGCAGTAGCGGGTCTTCGGGTACGGCTTGTTCTTGTTGTAGCGGTAGCACTTGGCCGGTCGGCGGCCCATGGCGGATCGGTCGAAGGTCGACGCGTTCGATGCGTGGCGCCGGGGGGGAACTCACCTGCGAGCCAACGGCCGGGCGTCGCACCTGTCGGGCGTCCAGCTCAAGCAGCATCAGCACAAGGCACCCCAACAAGGCCTTCAAGGGTTTGTATCCGATCCCTGGCGAGGCCCCAGTTCTGTTGGGTTTCGGCCTTCCCCCCCCCCCCCAGCATTCGTTTCGTGGACCTGTCAAAGGAGCCACTAGGGTTCCCACCACACGTCCGCATGTAAAATTGCCGATTATTCCATGGGAGCCTTCGCGGGTGCTCTCCCTTTGCCGGTTTTGATGGCGGTGATTCTGCTTCTCGCACCAGGAGCCCCCCTCCTTCCAACAAATCCAAAAATGGAGGAAGGAGGGTGCATCCCAATTGTGGGTGAAGTCGTCTTCCAACGTGCCAGATCGTTCACGTCGGTCCCAGAGTGAGTGAACCAGAACCCTTGGAATTGGGCTTGCACCCATCTCATCCCATCTCCAAAAGCATTGCAAGTTCACTGGGTCTCCGGGCCAATCGGTCAATCGGTAGCAGCGAAATTATACAGGCCTGGAAGTTGCCACCAAGAAAGCTTTGTGCTTTCTAGGTGTGGCGGATTGCTGTCCAGTTGAGATGTCTGTCCGTGGAATGTATACCTGCCTTGGCTGAAGGGTTGGGGAACCAGATTCTGCTTGGTACAAAATGTCATGGTTTCGAGGTACTTGGATGACGGTCGCTTTCGGCAAGCCTGTTACCTGGAGATGTTATGAACAGCGCATGCTTTTGATGTGCTACAGCAATATTGCAGAGGAAGTTCGGCACCAATTGATGAAGCTCCCGCGCGCCCTGCTACCTGCTCGTCTCCAGTAGAAGGTCTAGCCTCATAAGGCACCTAATAAAGAAGCCCCACACGCCAATGTTGCGACACCAGCCTCCCTCCAAGAAAGACCCTCAGCCCTGGCTGTCCTGGCTGAGCCTCCCTCTCCGCCCGCGGCCAACATGGCGCGTGCGAGGGTACGGACGGTCTCTACTATACCAGATCCTATCACATCCTATCAGACAGGAACCGCATGTCAACTTCAGGTCACCCATGCTTACCTGAGGTCTTTGTTTTGAAGCCATCTGGGTCAAGAGCTTAAGAACCCCCAAACCAAAAAGGGATGGGGACCCAAACAAAGGGCGCCTGTTCCACACAAGGATGTTCACCGCCATCGCACTTGAGGTCTAGCGCAGTACCAGCTTTGAGCCTCCTCAACCCACCCAGAAAGAGTCAAAAATAGAATATAGGATAGACGATGGTAGGTTTCCATCCGGGCATGACCCGTGCCCATGTGGTCATACGTCACACATCTTGGATCATGAAAGGAGTGAACAGCGCAATGGCTACCACTGAGCCAGAGCTGGCTACGGCGGAACGGCCAGAATACGGCGAAAGCAGCGGTTCTCTGTGCTCGATTCCTTCCCGGTTCAGAGGCGCTCTGGTCGCTCGCAGAAAGACCTCAAAGCTCCGGTTTCTTCTTCTCAGCCAAAAACCCGACGCCATCCCCCCCCCCAGAAGAGCCGTGCCGCTCCGCCCGAGCCGTGCCGCCGCCTTGGAGAAACATGGCCCGTTTTCGGAGCGGTTACCGATTCGTCGGCACCGACGACGGCGCACCTCCACGCGCCTGCACCTCAGCGTCACGGCGCCATGCGTCTCTACATGACCCAAAGTTCCAGGTGGACACTTCAGGGTTGAGCCCCTTCCCAGGATGCTCGGTGCTGTGGAAGGAATCTTGATTTGGCTTCCTGCAAGGTAGAGAAGTCGCATGCTAGCGTAGAACTTCTGAAATCTAGATCCCTTGGTCAGGATATCCATAATACATAACCCCCCCCAAAAAAAAAGAATAGTCAACGAATCTATTTCAACCACCCACCAGTCCTTTTCTTCAACTCTAAGGATTGAAAATTCCACGGGAATTCCACGGACCTCCTTTGGGCGCCTTTGACATCGTTGGACAACTCGGACGGATCAAAAGAGAATCAAAAGGAGAAGGCATCCGGAACCGGCACCCGAACACCTTGTCACGTGCGTAAAGACCACGCCTCGTGTCTCATCGAGAGGCTTCCAAGCACCAAGTTCAGTCTTTGCCCAACAAGCAATGTTGTTTTACAGATGTTTGGGCCACAACACCGGGTCTTTCCCTTAAGTTCTTGTTGGACTACAAGGGCCAAGGGCCGGGACAGCGCACGGTTTCTGGACCAATCTCCGCATTTCGGCCCGGCTCACCCGTTTCCGCGTGTCCACTTGTTTTGTCCGGTCAGCCCACAATGAAGCGGAAAGCGTGGAAAGCTTCGTGTTGGATCTTCATTCTTTTGGGTCCGATGGTGCGCCATCAATCAAGAGCTGCTCCCGTTGGAGCAGCTCCGGTTGGATCTGAATGATCTCATTCTTTTGGATCTTCATCCATCAAAAGCTGCTCCTGCCAGGCTCCTGGCAGAAGGATCTTCCGCCCTCCCCGTCGGGCCCCAGGTCTGGGAGCCAACGATCACCGTATAGGTCTCTCCGTCCGCTTCGGCCCGGCCGCCATGTGACCGCCATGTGACGTGACACCACCTGGTGGTAGTCCGCCTAGTGGTAGCCCACAGTGCCCCGGCCATCCACCCAACGGGCAGCTCAGAACGGGGTTCCGCCGGCTCTTCGGCACACCGCCGCGGCGGCGCTCAGCCGGAGTTCGAGTCCGAAGGATCTCGCGCGCCGATGACCTGCCAGAGGTTCGCATAGGCGCCCGGGTGCGGACGCCGCACTCTGCACGCGCGCTGAGCCCGCCAGTGGGAGTAGGAGCGCCAGCAAAGGCAGCAGGTGCAAGTGACTATGAGGAGAAAGGCGGCAATGGCCAAGAGCACTTGATACCTGTGCACTGACAAGGGGAAAAGTTACAAAAAGGAGTTCTGAAAAGCCAGAGGTCTTTCGGATGACGTTCTCAAGGTCACTAGCTTGGGGGCATGCATTGCAAAGCTGCGAGGCAAACAGGTCCGAAGTGTGGGCCCATGCAAGTAACAGCATGTACTGCCACAGCTCGCTGGTCCAGCAGCGTGTTTTTGCGACTCCAGGTTTGGGGGTCTCACGAATGATCTAGGAATTGTCCCAGCATCTCTTCAAGCAAAAGCAGTGTGATTTCAACCCCTTCACAACGTCAACGCCGCCAGCGAGTCCAGCGAGGTCCCACCGAGCTACAGCAAGGGCTCGAAAGGACATCCGCTCGAGCAGTTGGGCATCCAACATCTCTCTATCAGGGAGCCTCACTGCTGGCGGACCCAAGCGGATGCCGCTGGGGGTTCATCCACCCACAAATGGGTCATCAATGGGAACACCAAGAGACCCACATGGAAACTCAAAACCAAGGAAACGGGTCTGAGGAGGTGAATCGGTCTATTTATGTCCTATCGTCCTTGCCTTTCTCTGTTCCTTTCATGTCCAAGACTTCGATGAATTCTCAACCTCCAACTGTCTCTCCTCCCATATGCATCTGGAAGAAACCCTCCAAACAGCCCATGGTCCCTCAAATCCGACTCAAATTCGAGAATCCAGACTCCTCCCAAAGTCAGGTGTCCATCCTAATCCTTCCACCGTGCTTTCAAGTTTTGGAGAGCCATGTGAGGCGCCTCACATCACGACCCACTCCGAACCCCCTCAAGCTGGAGAGCTTGCAAATCCATCTTCCAGCCAGTCTCGGGCTAGCTCTTCCATACTACGCCCGTGCACCTGGGCTGCGGATCGTCAAGAGTTCTCCCGTCTGCAAGAGGGCTCTAGAAAGATCCTATGAGTCTCTCCATCTGCAAATCTTCTGCCATCAATGTTGCACAAACGTCCAAGTCACCTAACCCCAACCCGCCCAGCCCCCAGCCTTCACTCGCCAGTAGCCAGCACTCTCCGCCAGGCAGTGCTCCGTACACGTGCCCGAGAAGACCACTGGACCGACCCTCGCGCTGCGACCCTCGCTGTCGGCGATCACCGCGAGGCTGGCGCGGAGCTGGTGGGACAGGGCGACGGCGATCTGCCAGGCATGCGGCAGCCAGGTGAAGACCGGCCGGGCCACGCCCCTGCGACCGGGTTCGGACGGTCCAAAGGGTGGAAAACCGACCCGAATGCCAAGGCTGCTCAGCACTGCTGAGCATCAAAACTGAAAGATCTGATCTGGTGATTCTGGGAATTCTGGCAAGTCGGGATGCCAGAAAAACTCTACTGATCAATACTGATCATATATTGGAGGTGTGATCTGGAGGCTCACGGAGGCTCACTATCAAGGGTCAATCAGAAAGGAGCGTCACATGCGTCAGTTGGAGGGTTGGAAAGCTTCTGGCCATGTGTGCGCAGTCTTCTCTGGTCAATGCAAATAGGCAAATAGGACACTAGCCGCAACATGCCGCAACTAGCCTACCACACCCCATCAAGTTGGGATGAAGCTGCGAAACCATGTGAAACCACATTCTGGCACCAAGTCCAATGCCCCTCCTCCAGCTCCGACAATCTGCTGGCGTTTCCGGCCTCTTCCAAAGTTGGAAGTCATCGAACTGCTCCTCATGCATCAAGTAAGGCGTGCTCACATAGGGTGCCCACACAGGCCCAAACATGCACATGTAGGAGTTGTTGCCTCCCAAAAGCGAGGTCATAACGGAGGACGGATGGCGACAGCAGGATGGCCAGCACCAGAGTGCCAGATGCGGCGCTCAAGAATTTTGATATCACCTGTGTCTTTGACTGGCCTCTCACATGGTGCCATCCAAAAGAACCCATTACAGTACAGTCGCGCTGCTGCCCGCGTGCCAAAGATCAAGGATCGCAGTCAAAGTGTGCCGGTCCCTACCTCACGATTGTGCACCCCGGAGCGCCCCCCCCCCCCCCGCCTTGCTGTCGTCCGCACTCCCCCAGCTCGGCGCCCCAGCTCTGCACGCCCGCCCGGGCACCCTCCACCAAGCGCCCCAAGCCGTCGGCGGCCGGGCCGTCGGGCACCCACCAGGCCGCGTCCAAAAGGCCGCGACAACGGGTGGAGCGGTTCGGCAGCAGCCCACAGAGCCGATCCTGGCGGTGACAGACACAGGGCCTCGGTTTTGTCTCCAAAGATGGCCGCGTTTTTCACTCCGCTTTTCTGGATCCTTTTGGGACTTGAAGGCCTCAAAGGTCTGCTTGGGGGGGCCCTCCTGTCCCCCCAGTTGAACTTCAACCACTTCGTCCAAGCTATGAATGGCGTCATCAGCTGGCACCTGGCAACTGTATCTTGACCTCCCTCCCCAATATCATTTGATCAAAAAATGATCCACTTCTTTGGCCTTCCACTTCGCCTTCCCTGCATCCACTTCGCCTTCCCTGCCCAGTGTCTAAGTTGTAGAAGGCGCCACGGCCACCGGCACTGCAGCCTCCAAAAACCGCCAGTCGGGCGCTCAGGAGCTGCGGCTCGAGTGCCTCCACGATCCGCGAGAGGATCGCGGCGCCCTGCCAGGGACCCGATTTCAGCTCGTCTCATGATGGCTGAGACCTTTTTTGAGTCATGTCACATGTCACGTCATAGTCTTCTGCCAAATGGTTCTTTCTGATGGACACAGCCTGCGGCATGGAACAAGAGACGTTAAAGGTGGGCAGAACCAAGTCCAGGCAGCCACAGAACCAAGTCCAAGTCGCTCCCCAGACCGGCCCGGTCCCCACCGGCCACTGGCCTGAAAATAGTAGCCATAGACTGGCTGAAGGTTGCGCCCCAGCCACGAGTCGGAGCTGCCTCCGTCCGGGACACACCGAGAACGAACCTCTCCGAGACAGAACACGCTGAGCCATGAACTCGCCACCGACGTCCACAGCCGCGAAGCGATTGGGGCATCCCCCTACAGAAATACCTGGATCGTTCAACTATGCCAAATCTCTGCCTTTTTGCTGTTGTCTTATGTTGTTTTTATGGGTAATAAGGGCAGCAATGTGTCACAGCTGGCAGATCCAGGTCTATGGTCGCCCTGCTTCCCACACCTGTGCAAGTCGAGGACATCGTTTTTCAGGCGGCGCCCACAAACGCCGGCGCTCCAACCGCAGACCGGGTCGCAGTAGGGCACGTAGATCCGCGTGGCCCGGGCGAAGACGTTCGACGTGGAGTCCGAGAAGATCCCGTCCAGCACCTGCGAGGCTGCAGGAAGGAGCCGGCGAGACTGGTGTCTGATACAGCAGGGGAGAGGGTAAAGAGGTCGAGACTCTCAGGGAGACCCCATGCACCCCCTTCAAAATTCATACGCACCTGCCGAAAACGTTAGCTCGACTCTCCCATAGGTGCCATGAATACCGCACGTGAACCTCTCGTGGTGAGACACCCTCCGCATAAACCCCAAAACCAAAACCTCTTGAAAACACCCGCAACATCGGTCGATGAAGGGGGTGGGTGGAAGGCTCGGTGCAAGGCGAGCCAACCGGTGGGTACGGTCGAGACGCACCGGCGGTGGTTTCCAAGCGAACGAGTTTGAAACAACGAAGCCATGTCCACTCGTCTGGTCAAAGCGACAACCGGCGCGTGAAGGCACAAGTTTGCATGGTGGCATCTTCATGGTTATTCAATCAAGTGGTCTTCCCCTCAAGCCTGCCATGCGAGTGCCCGCGCCCATCGCAGTTTTCATAGAAAACTCCCCACCAAACGAAGGACCAAGCCACTTGCACGGAAAGCACGTCTGAAGCAAGCATCAAAATTCACCCACCCTCAGGAGAAACTAAAAGCATGTCTCATTGCTTGGCGTTCCCCACCTTGAGCGGCGACAGGTGCAAGCTGCTCATGCGGTACTGCCTCTGAAACCTTCGGCCGAAGCGCGACAAGCCCAGCTGGGCCAGCCGCGACAGGACGAAAAGGACGTGTGACACTCACTCGGCATGACCGTGAAACTGGGAAGAATCCAGTCCATCCCTTCCTCAGCTGCTTTCATCTGAGGCCCTCAAAAGGCAACAAGAAACCCGGCGTCATGTGTTCCTTGCAGGGCTTTCTGATGAACGACGGAACTTGAATGGGATCTTGCAACAATAGTGGATTGGTGAAAATCCTCTTGATTTACAACTAGAATCAGAATTGCGGGGACAAAATTTATGGTGGGATACAAAAGTAGTTTTCTTACACCCTAGAAGTCCAAAGACTATATTTTGCCCCACTGAAGTAAAGCATATTCCTTTTCGGGTCACCTAAAGACCATTCTTTTGATAGTCTTTGACTCCCAGGGTACAGTTAGTCGCATTGGTGTGAGAATCATCTTTGATTGCCTTCACCCCTTCTGAGATTGCCACTAAGAATGCAAGTCTTCTCACACCCTTGATGGTCGCATTCGTGGGCAACATTCAGGGGCGCACCAAATTCCCACAAAACTCATCAAGAATCTACGAAGCCACATGGATATCACAAGAAGTGCACCCTAGCCATCCTTCGATCGGATGTTCTTCGTCGAGGCGCCGTTCGTCGCAAACGTCCTTGGTGCCACAGTCGCCACCACCCTCAAGCCACACCAAGATCCTTGCAGGCGACATGGAACCAGAAGCGTTCAGAACCAACTGCCCAGATGAGATGGAAAGAACTTGGTGTTAGTATGTTTTTGTGATGCACCTACTCCTACTACCCCTCCTCCCTATACTGCTCCCACTCCTACTGCCACTGCTGCTGCTGCTTGCTACACTTATATACTACTTCCATCTACTTCCCACGTACTACCCCTGCGAACTACTAACAAAAGACTGCTTGCAAGAACCACCACTGCCACCACCACCACCACCACCACCACCACAGCATCCTACTACTACTACTACTACTACTCCTACTCCTACTCCTACTCCTCCTCCTCCTCTTCCTCCTGCTGCTGCTGCCGCTGCCACTACATTTGCTTTTGCTTCTGCTACACTCACTACTACTCTCACTTCCTGAAGCTAGTGTCGGCCAGGCGCTAACGCCTTCCACAGAATCCTCTCAGCCGCAAGCCACCCACACCGAGCCACTTCCATCCCTTCACCAAGCCATTCCCGCTCCCTTCACCAAGCCACACATCCGAATCCCCCTCTTTCAGGTAGTACGCGGGCCCCGAGCCATCAGCGCACATGGCCTCCCTGGACGGCGCCAGGCGAATGAGCCGCAGAACGGCCATGGGAGAGCCCGGGGCCCGGCAGCACCGAGCCCATGACAGTGACTGCAAGTGATGCCCAACAGGTTCAGGAAACATGGATAGCCGGATGGCCCTTGATGGGGAGCCTTTTTCTTAGGGTTTTGGATGGCAGACCGCAACTGCTCTTGACATGGATGGTCAAACACGTTGAGGAAGCACGGATGGTCAGGTTTGCATTCTGTTATCTTCTGTCGGGGTGATTACTTGCACGAATTCTGCTTGGAGAGATCTTGAACGTGGCCTGCGGTCCTAAAAAATCCCGCTTCATCCACTGCAATTCCTAAGACCTGAAAACACAAGAAAAATAACAACAACAGACCCGGCACATGATCTGCAAGCTTCCAGCCATACAGCCACTTCCGTGGGGTCCTACCCGCTAGAGACAGTCTCCAGCATCACTTCGTCTCGGCTCCCAGCTGCAACTCACTGCTGCCTTCAAAGCTACTGCCTGAAACAGCTTGCGCAGCTTGTGAACCCCCATCATGCAGGGTGTGGCTTAAGAGGTGTAGCGTAGATAAAGGCCATCTTTCTGAAGTGACCTCAATAGAAACAAAGTCCCCAAATACACTTTCGAAGATTGCTGGCCGGGCAAGGTCTTGAAGGCTCCTTGTTGCAAACATTCCAGCGTGAATGCCCAAGTGCTAGCTTTGATAGCGCCACTTGCTTGGCCCGTCCTTGCATTAGTTCAGCAAAAACGTCTAAATACAGTCCACCTGAACCAAAGAAATTGCAAGTCCAGCAAAAGCAGGAAAACGACCTCTTGCTGACGGTCTTACCACTTGTCATTTTCACCTTCTTCAGCCCAAAGTCTGTTGCTTCGCCGTATGACAGGCCGACCACTATATCTACAGTACAACCCAGTCTTCCCGGTTGGTGCCTCCCCCGAAAAAAGAATTTTAAAAAAAACACCACGCCTTCAAAGCCCAAATCCGCCAACTTGACCTGCCCCGTCCTCGCAGTGTGGGCCATGTTTTTGCACCAATTTTTTTCCGCTGCCGGGCCTTTGTCAAAAACAATGCAAGTGCAAAATATGGGCAGAACCATCCTCTGCTGGATGTCTATCTACTTCAAGTGTGTGTGCTGCTCTTTGCGGCCCCATCATCCCATCTGAACTGGGATCGACTTCCAGCTCCTATCAAAGACAACGCTGCTGAGCTTCAGGTTCAAGTGCGGGCTGCCCAGCAGACAGCTGCGCCTCGCGGCAGGCCGCGAGGCACGATGGACGACGCTGCGGGCGATGCCTGAAGTGCAGGCGACACCCGCCTGCCAGGGGGTTGTCCTGTTTGGGTTCCATCCACGAGAGGTTGAGAGACGATATAGGACCCTGTAGTGGTACATATGGATGGTTGGGCGCTGCCCTTTCGCCCCCTCCCCCCCTGTGACGGCGACCTTGGTCCGGGACCCTTCTGCGAGGGCCATTGTCGCGAGCGTTCTCGCCCATGGTGGGGGGATCCGGGTGTGTTTGAAAGAGCGAACCCAAATTGAGCAAAAATCGGCTTAGGGATGATGAAGGGAACTTGCTGTAGCTTCCAGGCAGGCTCGCTTGGAGGGAACTGAGCTCCGGCTCCCTGGAGCTCGGGATCCCCACAAATGGCTCACGGCACTCGCCACGGCGGCCGCCAAGCGCAGGCGGTCCGCCTGAAAGGACCGCAGTTGTGAACCCATGAGTTGGGTAGATCACCAGGTGTCAGTGGATGACGCTTCCGGTTTTCTAGCCTTTCCATCTCTGAAATGTTCTTGGAAAAACCCGACGGTTGACGGGGAGTACGACACACCCAGGCTCACATGTTTGCTCCCGTGACTTTACGGGTGGATGCACTGACGCACCATCTTGCTTCACGGGACGCACTGATCCGTGGTTGCTCTGTAAAAGGAAACTTTGGCTAAGGGAATGTTCATGTAAACTCATTGATGGATAAATGCCCCATATGAAGGAGGCGTTTCGATCCAAATGGGTGGTGTTAATTCCCATGCCGCTGATGGAAGGGGCGTGTTGGCGCCCCCGACCCAGAGGAAGGGCCGGCCGCCCCGGCGGGACACCAAGAGCCTGGCTGCTTGAGGTGTGAAGGCTGGGCCGATCCAACGTCTCCAAGCATCGATCTGGCTCGCGAGCCACCTGGAGGGTTCCTCTGGGTGTGTAGCTCAAATGAGGAGACCTCCCAGGCAACAACCCACTGGAAAACAGGAAGTAGAGTCTACCAATTGGGCCACGGCGTCTCCCGATTCAACCACATGACTCCCTTATCTACCAGTTGCATGCACATACAGTAGATACATCGATCTGAAAACCTTCGAGTCGATACATCAAGACTTGGATGTTTTTGTTCAAGGCCCACATCGTCCACACAGCTACGTGACATCTGCAGCGGGGCCTCTTTTCCGCATCGGTCTGATCTAGCATGTCGTACACGACCTTGGTGCGCTCAACACGACAACATGAAACCACACCCAAACCCTCATCGAAAACGTGTCTAACAAGCACCATCCGTCAGCAAGGCCAACCCTCCGCTTACAAAAAGGAACGAAACAGCACTGCGCACTAGTCAGAAAATGGAGTGAAACGCTTGAAGGCAGAAAGCCATCTTGCACCACAACCGGTTGGGAATCAACCGCTGTTTGTCTCGCACATTGGGGTTCTAGGTGTTCATTTGAGCTTCTTCCACTGGTTGGAAGTCGTGAAAGGGACATCCTCAGGGTCACCAACCGGTCAAGGATTTTTCTCGCGCATGAAACGCATTGAGTGGGTCAAGGCACAAAGCAGCAGGACTCCCAAATGCCCCAACCTCAGAATGCTCGCCACGGATTCGCACCCCGGCACGCCGAAAACGTCTGACTGTTGACTTTCTTGACCTTGCCAGAAGACATGGCCGAAAAAGAGTGCCGCCTCTTTGCGCTGGCATCAGTTGGAAGCGTTTGACACCCCCCACAAACGATCCCATGGACCCTGAGAATCCACCTACCTGGCGGTTTCGACCGGTCTTCCCCCTCCAAATACAGCCCATGTGGTTGGGGGGGGTCCCATGTGGACTCTGTCGGTGCCCAATGTCTCTTCGTCTCGCACCGAGCCACCGATGGGCAGGAGCAAGTGCAGATGTAGGTCCAGACCTGTTGGCGGTCGGGGGTGGTGTTCTTGGACTCCCTGTGCCATTCAAGATGCCCCCCATGTAGCTGGTGCATGCAGCCCGGTGCTGGCCAACCCTTGCGGGGCGCCACAGCGCATGGTGGAATAAAGCCAAGACACATGCCATGCTCTGCCCTGAGCCTACCTCGGACGCTGCGCTCTCTTTCGGGGTTGGTGCCACAGCAGCTTCGCAAGTCAGGCCTTCTTCTGCCTGCTCGGTGCTGCTAGCAAGTTTCTGGTGAAAAAAAAAGCTTGAGCCCGACCTTCGGTCGACGCCGGCTCTGTGTCACTTCGCACAACTGCTTTGTGCTACTCGACACATGCCATGCTCTGCCCTGAGCCTGCCTCGGACGCTGCGCTCTCTTTTGGGGTTGGTGCCACAGCAGCTTCGCAAGTCAGGCCTTCTTCTGCCATGCTGGCCGCCTGACCCCGTGGCACCCGGCCAAAAGACGTAGCCAGCGCAGCTCCCAGGTTCATTGCTCGCTCCATGGAGTCGGTGGCGTCGACGAAGATGTGGTAAAGGTCGTCCCACGAAGCTTCCACTCTCTTCCAGCCGAGTCGTTCGGCCATGGACATGTCTCCCCGACTGACTGCGTCGGCTATGTTCGCCTGCGAGGTGACTCTTTCCCAGTAGGGCTGGTGGTCGCACTTGTTCAGGAAGCTCCACAGGAGTCCCAAGAGGCGGTTGACCTTAGTGTCCTTGCCGAATCCTCGCTGGAGCGCAAATTTGCCCGGCTCGTTATCAATGAAGCAAATGCTCATCTCTTCCATCATGGGCATGCCGACAATGAGGCACAGGAGTTGGGCGATGATTTCCAAGGCATAAATGAATGCCCTCCTGGTGGTGAACCGTCCAAGGAGCCGTCCAGGGATCTCGCCATGGGCATAGTGACACTCACCGTCAGGTCGGCGAAGCACAAAGCCCCATCCGTTCTTCATGAGGTTGGTGGCTTCCGCGGTCCATCCTGGTTGCTCCAGTGCCGTTCGGACCGACAGTCTTTGATCTCCAGCCTGAAAGTATGCATCAGCGTACACAATTGTGCAAGCTGTCTTGGTAAAGTTGAATGTTCTTTGTTTGAGACTCGGTAAGACATGCAATAACGTTTGCAAAGCGTCTGTGATCCCACTGCCTAGTGGGGTCTGTGCATGTTGAATGGGTGCACTTGCGCGTGCATACAGTGGCTGTATGCAACAGCGTATGGCCTGGGACATGGTAGCCTCGGATATGAATTGGAGCTTTCCGGCCAATCGATTGGCCTCATCCGAGGACATTGTGGCCCTGTGCAGGTGTCCGCGCAGTTGTGCTGTGATGCGCTCCATGCGACCGAGTTCGGTGCTAACGGTGAAGGACGTGGCATCGATGGACATGATGACACCTTGGATTAACTGCCGTGGGGCGGGGGGTTGGTCTTTGCTTGGTTTGAATTTGAAGCCCACGTGCTTCATGATGTGGTGCACACAGTCAAAGCCCGATTGGATCGTTTGTTCCGGTTCGATCGATGCATAGTCGTCCACATAGTGCACCATGGGTGAAAGTGTGAGGGCACGGCAGAGCCAGCAAATCATGTCTGCTGTGCGTGTGTACGACCACACCGAAGCTGTGCTCCCGAACAGGAGGCATCTATGTTTCCAAAGCGTCCACCCCCCCGGGTATTCTGACCAACACGTGGGTATGATCGGGTTCGGCTACTGGTAGCTGCCGGTATGCTGACTCGTGGTCGGCCCCCCACAGGTGTGTGCTGAATCCTTTTGCATGGAATTCATTGGCGACTGCAATGAATGTATTGACCCTATGTGTCGGTGGGATGTCCTCCCCTTCGATTGTCTCGTTGTGTCTGCTTCGTTTCCAATCCTCGCACCGTCGGACCTTGGTCTGTCCATCGGCGCCGGTCTGCTCGACCGAGAATGCAAAGCTTGTGGGAACGTGGTGTGATGGCCCCTCCGTCAGTGCCTGTGTGTTCGGGTGATGAATGGAGGGGATTGTCCGTATGCCCCAGCTCGGTGGGGCTGTCAAGGGGCCGACCATTCTCTTTTTCTCGATGTCTTTCGAGATTTCCTCCAACAGTGACTGCCAGTGCTTATCTGGTTTTGTCTGGTGCACTCTGGACAGTACATGCTCTTCGTTCAACTGCATGAACGACGACAGACGCATCGGCTGTGCGTACTTCATGTCTTGTCTCTTTTCCCAACCTAGGCCTGGGCTCATCTTGCCCAGCACTGGAAACCCTTCTTGGATCTCGGCTAGCAATCTCTGGTCCTCCCACCCAAACTTGTGCAAGAGGTGTGCTAGTATTGGGAAGTGGATTCGGTTCGGGCCTGATGGGTCGAGAACGATTCGAATGTTTTCGGGTCTCAATTTGTGCCAGGCCTGGAGATCGTCCTCGAGGTCCAGTGCCATGTCCGTGATCTCCCCGATCAGCTATGCCCGGAGGGCTGGCAACCGCTTGTGCCATTGGTGCCATAAATTGATGGTCTGTGTCAGGCCCGGTTCAAGTGGGTCGGCCACATCGTGCGGGTGGCTCCTGAGCCAGCTGGCTTGCCAGTGTTGGTCAAGGCATGTGCACTGGGTCATCCAGTGTTCGCCCTGCTCACCCTTGTGCGGTCCACTGGCGAGTGGTCCTGAAGCCCAGATCGATGCCAGGGTGTCGATGGCTGTGTATCCAAGCGGGTCCAGCTCCGGCCCCAGCGGGAGCGATGCCTCCGCTGCTGGGAAGCAGGTCAGCATGGTCATCACCAGGATGGCAGTCCCTAAATGCCAGCTGTTCGCCAGGATCTTGTGTCGTTCTCTGTCGTCCTGGGCTGGTGCCGTGAAGTCGTCCTCCAAGTGGTGGAGGCGCTCTTTCACCAGGATGCTTGGTGTCACGAGCTCTCCCCGCTCGTTCTCGAACAGGTTCTCTTCACGGAAGTGCCATGGGGCGAATTGGCGCCCCGACAGTTCCCATCGGTGGAACGTGGCAGAGTCCAGCTTGCCTTTCACGGATCTGGGCGCGGGGCGTCCCTCAGGGCCTGGTGCTGGGGATGTCAGGGTGGGGAGGGTCTTGCCTTCCTCGAGGCACTTCGGGGGCTTCCACCTCGGAGGCAGAATGGATGCCACTGGGTCTGGGGGGAATTCAAACGTCAGGTGGTCTGTGTCATAGAGCTTCGTCCAACGAATCCTCCAGCCCATGGCGGTCTCGCCAAATTGCTGCCACCCAGCATCTGTCAAAAAGACTCGGGGTCTCTTGACAAGTCCCCAGTCCTGGGCGTCCATGATGACGGCAGGGACTCCCACCTCCGCCTCAAAGTGGCGAAGATCCGCTTTGCGGCTCATGATCACGTTTTCGATCATGCGTAGGACTTTCCTCTCCCTGAAGAGAGCGCTCGGGGCCGCGAACCAGCGGAGCATGTTGTCGAACTTCTGGCCCTCGGGGCCGTCTCTGCCTGGGGCATCCGGCCGGATTCGGCTGAAGTCTGGACACGGCGGTGCGGCCGTGAGTAGGATCGTGCACTCCTGGTTCGGGTCGATCTCGTCGATGCGAGCCTTCAGGGCTGCCTGGTCATCCTGGAAGATGTCACCCCTCTGCTCGAGGTCCGGCCATCGGTGGGACGAGATGGCCACACAGGCTTCGTCGATCTCCCAGGAGATGCGGTGCCAGATGCGGCGGCTGCCAATCACGATGTCGGCGGCCTCGTGGGCGATCCCGCAGCCGTCGAAGACACTGAGGACGATCCAGGCCTTGGCGGTCGGCTGTGGTGTGGGTGTTCCGGGGCCGATGTATCGGCTCAGCCGGCTGTCAGACTGTGGTGTCATGGTTTTCTGCCGCTTCGGCCCGGGTACTCCCTCTGGTTCAGGGGGAGCCCCGTGCTGTCCCTAGCCAGAGTGCTTCCCCGCCGAGGGTTTCTTCCACGGCTGGGACTGCCATGCATCACTGGACTTCCATTGCGGCCACTCTCTCTTCCATGGGCGATCCTGCGAGGACTGAGGTGAGGTCCATGACGATGACTCCTGACGGTCGTGCTTGCCGCCTCCCTTGCCCTTCGATGGTGGCTTCCGTGCCTGTGGCTTCGTCTGCTGGGGCTTCGCCATGGGGAGCTCCTTCATCAAGGCGGCCTGGAGTGCGCCCGTGTCGTCCATGAGGGTCTGGGTGCAGTGGGCGAAGGTGTGCCCTTGGCGCATCAGCAGGGCGATCCTCCAGCCCCCATCGAGCCAGTAGGTCTTCAACTGCTCGATTTTCCCCGGTCGGGATCGGAAGAGTTGCTTCCACCAGTTGATGTAGGCCTTGATGTCGAGTTCATGGCCCAATTGGCAGAGGGTCCAACAGAGCTCAATCGCCTCCAAGGCGTCCATCAAACTCAAGAGGCCTTTGGGGCTCCACTGTTGCTCCTCCTCGATCACTATCGCGTTGTGCTCTTCATCGACCGCCAATCGGCTCTGAGTTTTCTGGCGGAGCTCTTTGTTGAGCGAGTTGAGAGAGCCTGAGCTGTCAAAGCACCTCGATTCGAGGATCTCATGGAGCTGTGTCGGCGTGAATTGGTGGGAGATCCACGCCTCGTGCCAGATACGGGCCATGACCCGTTCGGCACCGACCAGCATTTTCATCGGAAAATCACGCTGGCGTCCGGCAATCTCTGTGTCAGCGTAGAACTTCACGAGCTTCTGGAGTTCTTGGGGAGGTATCTCCCGCGGCACAGTGGGTGCCGATTTGCTGGTCGTTGGTTCGGTCGGTTGGCCGCCTCCTGCTGGCGGGGGCAACCCGAGTGGCTGGCTGTTGGCGCCACTGGCTTGGGCTTGCATGCCACCTTTGTCCCTGCACTGACTCCACAGGAACCGAAGTGCAGCCCTCACCACCGGGCCTTCGGTGGAGGAGATCTTCCATTCTGTGCCTTCGATCTCTTCTCCCTCAAGCAGGGGCTTGAAGAGTAGCTCATCAATCTCTTGAAATGAGTCGGCCATCGCGGCCAGAAGTCCGGTTGAGAGGACCTGCTTGGCTCGCAGGTACCCGTGCAGCTTCTCCGGGAGGCCGCATGCGGTGGCAAGCGCTGCGAGTTCGGCCGACATGGCGCGCATCGAGGTCGGTAGCGGGGGTGTCGCCCACGAGGCGTCGTCCCAAGTCGCCTGATCCATGAAGGGGATCGGCTCCGGAAATTGTGTGTCACACCGGGGTCCTCGGAACCTCGGGGGTCTTCGTCTCGGGTGGGCCACGATGCGAGCGGCGTCGGAACCGTTGGATTCCCCGGGGCCTGGTGGTCTAAAGCTTGGTATGGCCAGGTAAGTGCCCAACTGTTGCGAATGGGGCCTGGTGGTCTAAAGCTCGGTAGGGCCAAGTGCGCTCGCTCCGACTGCCGCTCCGTGCGGTGCATGGCATTTCACTCGGAGTCGCTACTTGTCGATGAGGTTTCGGACTCGTCAGATTGGCGGTCCATGACCTCTGTCTCGGAGGAAGCCCCCTCAGCTTCGGGGGTGTCGGGAAAACATTGCCTGCATGGCTGGTCAAGTCGGTCCGAGCGCCGGAAGCGGGTCAAGCCATATGGGCGCCCGCACTTCGTGCGCCATTCGGCCGGAACGGCCCCGTTCTCTCGCGGGTCCGGAAGGTGGGCCTTCCGAATTACCACGTATTTCGGTGGTGTGTTCAAGGAGGCGACCCTCTTGGCCAGGCTCTCCAGTTTGGCGCGGAGCTCCGCCAAGTCAGTGTCCCGCGCGAACGAGGGTCGTGCATCGGTGGTCTCTGGGTGACCAAGCGGTCGGCACGGTCGAAGGAGTGATGCCTCCTGAATGTACCTCTGGATGGCATGCGAGCTCCAACGGCCCAGCAGGAGGATCGTGTTCGTGTCTACTCCATGAGCCGCCAGGAACTGGGATCCCGCCACCCTCAGTGAGTGTCCACCAAAGCGCTCCAGGGATCGTCCGCTGGGCCCGACCCGTGTGGTCTCGGTGCCTGTCAGGCCGATGATGTTTCGAATGGCCTTGACGGTGTCCGCCTTGGACCTGGTATGGCCTCGGCTGTCCGGGAAGAGGGGTGTGCGGTCGGTCATCAGCTCAATCTTGTCGATCCGACGCCTCAGGGCATGAACGATGCACAGAGGTTCGGTACCTGCGGAGCAGGAGCACACGTGGGATCTCTCGATCATCTCCCCTTTGGTGTCCGTCTTTGACACGGGGAGGCTCCAGTGAACGACGGGGTAGTCGGAGGAGGTATGCTCGAAACGAACGTGAGAGGCTCGAGCGTTTGCGAGTTCGATTTCTCTCATGAGGAACCAGGAACCGCTCAGCACCATGATGTAGTCGTCCTCGATGTGCTTGAAGTCGGGCAGGTCCCATAGTGTCCTAAGCAGGGTGAGGTCGAACGAGTCCTTGAGTTTGGAGGGGCCCAAGCCGCGTTCGATGCTCCGCACGGCATCCTTCATGCTGAGTTCGACTTCGACAGGGATGTCGCCATGGCGAACGACGTGTTCGCGTCGGGCCGCGCTGAAATACAGCTTGGCTGATTTGTACCCCCCGGCTTTGAGGGAGGCCCCCACTTTCTCGATGAGTTCCGGTGTCAGTGGCCATGGGGGCACGTGCCACGCTCGGGCTATCGTCTCCCACGTCTTGACTCTGCTGTTGTGTGGGTGCGAGTTGCTCCTCGCCCAAATGTCCTCTCGAAAGGATTTCAAGGTCCGATCCGATTGGTGAGCCTGTGCTGACTCGAGGGCTCGCTTGAGGCTGCCTCCCGTGGATGGATTGACCTTGGGAAGGTCTTGCCGTGCATCTTTCGGTGAGCCGTTCTGGTGTGGCTCCAGCCAGGCGGCCAAGGGTATTTGCAGCATGGATGTCTCCTCATCGTTCAGGTCGAGTCTTGACCATCTGGGTCGTTGAGCCGCCAGAACGGATGGCGATGTCCAGCCCAGTTCGACCAACGTGGGAAGGATGCGCGTGACGGCCGCTATCTCGCAGGCCGCTATCACGGTGTTCCATCGATCGGCCAGAGCCATGCTAACGGCTGTGGCGAACGCACAGAGGGTGCGGGTCAAAACACGGATGCAGGGGGTGGGGGATCCGACGATCGACACCAAGTCACCGAAGCTAAGTGCTGCGCATCTGACGAATGAGCGTCAGTCCAGGTGTTCGTCTCTGACTAAGGTCCCAACACCGACCGGCATCGAGCGAGTTTTCATACCTAATCCGTGCGACCGGTTTCACGCTTATGGTGATTCGAACTCCAGGCGGCGACGTGCCAGGCGCAAGTCATCCGGGTCCTGGGTCGCTAATGCCATCATGGCATTACCGATTGCTGCAACCTGGCGATTTCGCTTCACAACTGCCGTGCGGCCGATCAGGTGTGCGTCCTCAAGGTATGCACACAGGGTCTCGAACATAAACTCCATGGGCCAGGCATTGGTCAAGTGAGCTCCTCGGCGCAGTCCGCGAACCACGTGGATGCTGCGAGCGGCCGTCTCCACCCAGGTCTCCAAACGGACGTTGGTCCACCCGCTGAAGATCTCCATGAAAGGCCGTGGCCGAGTCTCAGGCGGACTGTAGAAATCACCCACGTGCTTTGTGAGGCGGATCAAGGAGGGGTGCACCTCATCGGCAGTATCGCGGGCCAAGGTGACAGCGGCCATCGTGATGGGCAAAATGCCGTTCGTCCTGTTGTCCACGAATTGACACCTGCTGATGTTCCACAAGCAGGTGAAGATGTCGTCGAGCCCATCCCACTCGGCGGGATGGGTCCGGCTCCACGTCAGCAGCCATCGCGCCATCTCCAGCGCCATGGCATTCGGGCCGCTGGTTTCCACCATCCTCGGTGTCAACCCACAAAAAAAGCTTGAGCCCGACCTTCGGTCGACGCCGGCTCTGTGTCACTTCGCACAACTGCTTTGTGCTACTCTACAATCCAATACATACATCAGCACGTCAAGATAGAGACAAAGCCCGCCTCCAAGCAAACAGCAGTCAGTGGGCCTTTTGAACCCTCTGAACCATCTGAAACCCAAACCGTGCCTATCTCGATCTGGGGCGCGTGATGTGCGCGCCCGATCAGATGTCCCCCACTCTGAAGTAGGGCTTCTGAAGCCCAGAACGTCCGGTTTGACTCATGAACCTCACCAGTCGGGGGGGGTCCACCACTATCATCAGGGTAAAAATGCGGCATGAGTCATTCAGTCACACCCTGGGCGGGACGGCCAGCAGCATCAGCAGTCCAAACTCCAGGATTCGTGGACCAGCCATCGCCATCCATCGCAGCTCCGGAGAATCCAAGGAATCTTTCGGAATAGAAACATCCAAACGAGCTCCCTTCCACTTGGACTGACCAAGTGGAGAACATCTGAAACATGAGGACTGGACACCGGACCGATGTGAGAACAAACCAGAAACCAAACCATTGTTCTAAGGACGGTCCCTTTCCTCTCCTCCTTCGCCCGAGTGGAGGACGCGGGCACTGGGGCTCGCACCACAGAGGGTCTCAACCCCTCAGCGCTGGCTGTGGCGCTGGGTGATGGACAAAAGCCCGGAAACTCCCAGGTCTGGTCTGGTTTCTTGCACGACTTGTGCCAACACAGTATGCCAACATGTTGGCACAACCACCGCGGTTTCTGGGTGGTCTTTGTGGGCAAAAACGGTGCCAAACCGGTGGTGCACCGATTTCTCGCGCGAAATGAACAAAGGCATCTCGGCCATATCTCAGCCGCAATCTTCAAGCTAAGAGAGTTGCAAAGGTCTGGCTCACGATCCATGGACAGGGACAGACAGCCTCAAACATGCCCCATGCAATTGGACCAGGGTTGATGGCACCGTGCAAAGGTCTGGCACCTTCCTCATGCTTGGTAGACATGGCGCAAGTCTCGCTGCTGTGCCACCGGCTTCGACCAACAAAAGGAACATGGTTCTCTTGCTGTAGCTCTTCAGCTGGGGCGGACCTCGACCACTCACAAGATCCAGCGAGACAAGAAGCCCCCACCAGGTCGTTCCGCCCAGGTGCTCTGCTTGAATGCCTTCAGCTCGTTGCCTCAGTGCTGGGAATCCAAGCCTCCATGCTGACTTCAACAGGTCCACTCATGAAAGAATCCCGTCTGCACATGCCTAAATGTTAGGGCTCAAAGATCTATTGCTGTGATTTTTTTGACACCTTCCGTGGATACTCTGTAGGCTCCGTAGCCCTGAGGCTGCTGCCTTTCACATCCTTGAAGACCTCCAGGGGCGAACACATCACTGACACCACCATGTTTGGACCCCAAGCACTTGTGCCGTGCGCACGCCCCTTTCGGAACTCCAGCCGCGTACTCCTTTTCCGACCCCTCATGAAAAATGGGTCGAGCCCGCTCCACCAAGCTCAGCCTTCACGACCACCTGTCGTCCGTGCTCCAGCTTCCCAGCCACATAGCGGCCGCCGAGAGGGTCTCCGGACCTGGGCTCCGCGGCACGGGCGCGGCACGCGCGCGGCACTCGCGCGGCGGAGCGGCGCCGAGGGGGCGCGGCTCTCCGGACTGACCTGCGAAATGCCGTTGGCGTCCCACGTCCCAATATTATTCCTGCTGACCAGCAACTTCAGGTCGGATCTATGTGGATTGTGTGGCCCACCGGTACCTCCCCATACCTCCCTCCATCTCCATCCCCACCTGCTGGCGTGCAGGAGCAGATCCGTCGCCAGCTGGTGCTCCGAACTCTCGCCGCCGCCGCCGCCCCCCGTGGAGTCCACGGAGGCTGCGGAAGCGCCCATGGCGGTGAGGCGAGCTCCGTCGCCCGCGCCCCATGGGCCCGCCCAGTGGGAAGACGAGTGCTGTTGGGGCACGAGACTCGAGGACGAGTGCTGGTGGGTTTTGCAAGGTGGCCGAGGAAACAAACTCCCAAAGCCACCGGCTTGGAGCGATTTGGAGGTATAGTTATACTTAGATATACTTGGCTTTTGCTTGTTGGAGGGTGGGGGGGGGCCAATGTGAAGCTTGTGCGTCTGGGGTAGTGGGAATCTCTGTGGGATGCAAAGTTATTAAAAACCTAATTTTAGGAGTGATGCAACTGCTCACATCATTCATTTCGGTCTTATGCGAATGCATCGACTTGTAGGTGTCCGGGACAGCCTTCAAGCAAAGGAACGGCTGGCGGCTACAGCTTATAGGTAACAGAACATCACAAGGCGCAAGCCGCAAGCAATCTGTATCAAACCTAGGTGTGAAACAAGTCCCTCACCACTCAGCAGTACACCAGCAACAAGAAACAACGACGATATCAAAAAGAAAAAACCTAGGGAGAGAAACCTACAACTTCGGTCAAGGTCTTCTTGGGTAGCGGTAGTATCCTGATGACCCAGAGTTCGATGCCTGCCAAGGCAGTGCGGAGACTCTCGAACGAAACCAGCCTCAAGTTGAACAAAGAGGCAACAAGCATCCCAAGTACCTGTCTAGAGGGTCCAGTTATACTTTCTGAGGAGGCACATTGTCGAGCAAGGATGTCGCACTTCTGCGCAGCACCGTACAACGGACGTCCTTTTTTCCCACGCTCCGCTGGCCCCCCACCATCCCTACCCCCGACCGTACTGCTTTTGCATGCCGGTCGGATTTCAGGGTGTGAAGGGGCAGCAAATGGCCACAGATGGGAATCGCACGCTGGTGTCCAAGTAGTTGATTCAACTGCTCAGCCTGCGAAGGTCCCCCCCATGGCCGCACGCTCAAACAGAGCTGCTACCTACTACCTCATGGAGGTCAGAACAGCAGGACCCATGGACAGCTGAAAATCCATCTGAAGCTACACAAAAGCAAAGCGAACCATCCTCAAGGGCCCTACTTTTTCTGGACTTGTCCATGGGCCGCGACCTTTTTTGGGGCCAAACTTTGGGCCAGCAGCAGCGCTCGGCCGGAGGGTAAGCTTATGCAACACAACACGGGAAGGTCCAACAACATGGAAACTCTCCAAATTGAATGGACTACCCGGACATTTACCTATGCAATTGTGCATGTCTCCATGAATCTGTATTTGTATGTTGTTCCTCCTTTTCCCTCTCTGACAGTCAGTGTCTGGGCTTGATAGCAAGGGCCTCCAACCTAGCAGCGATGGCCTCCAACCTAGGACCTAGGAGGCACATTTGGATCAGCTTCCATTTCCTCACTTCTACGAAGCATTGCTGAGTTGGAAGCCTACCTTCCGGCCAGACTTACGCGACGCAGGGGTGCGGGTCGGGCTGTCACGGAGGCCCCCCAGCGTCGGACCGCTCGCAGGGCTGGCAGGCGTGACCTTGATGAGGTCCAAGCTTCGCAGGTACCGGCGCATCCACTTGTCGAAGGTTCCTCAGGAAACACCGGCGATGGACCGTGCTGGCTAGACACCATGGCTGGACGTGTGGGGAAAGTCCGCCAACAAAACAGCCCGACGAGTCTGCGGATTGAGTTCCAACGCCAAGTGGGCCCTCGTCAACAAGGATCAAAAAGAAACAAGAAAGATCGATAGAACAAAAGGATCAAATCACACAAGCAGTAGCGTGCGCATAGCGGTCGCAATAGTAGTAGTCGTTGTTGTGGGTCCGCGGCCCGTACTCAAAACGAACTTGGTAGCGCAGCAGCGGCAGTAGTTGCAGCAGCTGCAGTAGCAGTAGTCATAGTTGTCGTCGTAGGTTTGTTGGTCTTGTTTTGTCTGCTCCGAACCCCCTCAGCGCAGTTCCCCCGCATGTTGTTCGGGGTGCTTCCAGGGATTGAAATTGGATTCAGACCGTGTTGTCTTGTCTTTCCTTTCTGGTTTGGTTTTTCTTGATCCCTTTTCTTACCTGCTTATTATTTCTTGATCCCTGTATGTTTTTGATGCCTCTAGGTGGCCTCCAACCTACTAGCGATGGCCTCCAACCTAATCATGAGGATTCTCTAGATGTCTCCAGATCATGATCAAATGTGCGGGGGGGTGCCTCCTGGCACGGTCTACCAGGTTCACCCGTGCGCCGTCGAAAAATCAGTCCGCTCAGGTCACATGGTTGTGCCATGCACGGCCACCCCTCCGTCGATCCAAAAGCCCCACCCCGGCCCCAGCCAAGCCACCGACTGCGGCAGACACCGGCTGCTCAAAAACGATCATCTGCAGAATGGCAGAGGTCCGAAGGAAGAAAGAAGGACACCGGCATTTCATGGAGGATAGGGGTGCCCCTGTCACATCGACTGCAAGAGCCCTTCCTTGAAACCAAGGCGCCTGATCAACATTCCCAACAAGCAAGCAAACCAAACACATCCGAACTCATCTTTCAAAGCTCTATGTAGTCGATTGCAATCCCTCCAGGCCACGACATGATACTCTCTTCCTTCGGCCTTGGTCCTAACCTCAAAAGCCCCCACGCAGTCCTGTCCCCACGCCCCACCCACCCCGAACACGCCGCCTCGGTGGCACGCTTCTTCAAGTTGGTGGATCTCACTGGACTGACCACGGGGCTCTTCTCCTTGTCAGGCTCAAAGGGATGGAGTTGTGAAGGGGAAGAGTCTGGCTCCAAATCAAGACGCCATGTTGGGGCCGCTACCCCCCATCTCCACTATGTCCACCGTCAACGGACGAGAGGGTGGTTGATAGACCCCCCTGGAAGATGTACCCTATTTAGGTGGTGCTGGAGTCTGCTGTCGCTCCACCACCCTCACCCTCCGCCCCTCCTGCCACACTTGCATTCGTTGGATGCCGAACCGGCTCTCGTTCTCGGCCCTTCGATGCTCCATCTCCTGGTGACCCAGCATCACGAGGGGCCGGGGAAGCAGAATTACAGCGCCCCGAGGCCTTTAAATGTCATTTTGAGAAAGGTTTGTCCTGGCTTTGTAGTGAAAAATCCTTAGTAAAACGATGGTCATTAGGTAAGGACCATTATATAAAACAATGGTTGTTTGAATTGGGTATGTGCAAAGAACTCCATCTAAGACCTGAAACCACCCCCAAACACCGGCATCATCTCCCTGGGCCGCTGAACTGAACAACCGGAGCGGTGGCAGGTCCTGGCGTCGTTCCTCCTCTTCCATCCGGTGATGTGCTTCTTCGCCGACCATGCGCAAGCGCCCCACCGGGTCTTCCAACACATCGGCGTTGTCCATCCTGGGCGCAGGTGGTCTGCCATGCACCGAGGGGTGCCCTGCTGTTTGGCCCAAACAGCTTGGTACCATGACTCTTCACCCCAACCCACCACTTCCCAATACGACTACCATCCCAACTCATCAAAAAAAAACACTGTCCAGCCCAGCTGCATAAAGACCATGTCGGCCTGGGTGTCTGCCTTCCTCAGCGCCCGGGGCCGCACCCGGTTGCCACTGCCATCATCGATCTTGAGCACCCTGCGCATCTGGGCAAAGGTTCGGAGTGGATCTGGTGCACCGCGCCGATCCCGACCAGGAGCCTAACATAGAGGGGGTACATATGAGATACACGAGAGGCAGCCATTGGCTTGTTCAATTTGAGGGACCGGAACGTGAGGTTTTACACAGCCCATGCTACCAGTGCTGGGTTTTAGCCTCCCGGGGTCGCTGAACGTCACCCGGCTGGCACGCTACGTGCCTAGTGGACAATCACCCGACTCGCTGGAAGTAATCCGGACGCGAGCACGCGATGTACCACGCTATTGTTTTATCACTGATAGTGTGTTTTATCTACATGTTGCATGGAGAACCAAGTTCGAAAAAAAAAAAAAAAAAAAACGATCCGGCCAGGGCATGCGTCTTTAAGTTTCGACTAGCATCAGTTGTCCCATCTCTACCAATAGTTCAGGTCCCAGTTCAGGTCTCACTAACCCTCCCTTTTTACGATCGCTGGTCCACTTGCACCAGATCAGGGTCGATCGGCGCACATGTTCGATGCCGAGTTCGCCCCTTCAAAAGGAGACCACAAGGAGGCTGTTGGCAGGGTAAGGATGGTTGAGATTGTCCAAAATCCTGCGACAACCCATCCCGTTTCGAGGCAAACTTGCATGAACCCTCAAGAGAATGCATGTTGCCATCTTCAAGAGTTCCACACATCTACCTGCTGGACAGCTAATTTCCATCAATGTTCAACAAAAAACACTTCAGCTGACCGAGCTACCCAATCTCTATCCCTTTGTTGGGGCGGGCCACGTGTTGCCATGAAATGACCCTTCTAGTGAACTCTAGTCTGGTGGTGAACTGCCCCTTCTCTCCCTGCCCTGCCTGCTACACCGCCTGATCACACCCACCTTTCTTGGCATCATAAATCCATCCCACACCCAAAAAAAAGGAAGACACTTCCGATTCCCCCCATGAAAACACCGGGGAAAACGACCGGCGGAATCCGACCCGGCGGAGCTCACCCGAACGGCCGAGCGCCCCGCCGATGTCTCACTGGAGCGTGTCCAGCCCTCGAGGCGGTCGGCGCGCAAGACCTCCGACGGTGCCGGGCCCCTCTTCGAACGAGCAGCTACATGTAGTGGTCCCCAAATAGGTAGAAATGCTGTCCAATACATGTTGAGTGGAGATCTACGAACTTCTATCTGTTTGATAAGGGGGAGGTATCAGGGGTATCAAGATTTGATCTCGTGTGTATGTATATATATATATAAATACTTTATATATATATATACATATATATGTATCTATCTATTTTATTTGTGCAAGTGACGAGGACCATAGATCCGCAAGCTGTGGCGACTAGCCCACACACACACACAAACACACACACACACAAACAAACAAACAAACAAACAAACAAACACAAATAAAAAAGAACGTGGCCCAACCCAACCCGTGCTTTTCAAAAACCGCCTTGGTGCAAGCATCCTCTGAGTTCTTGATGTCCTTCAACTTGTCGTAGAGGGTCTTCTTCCTCCAACCACGCACACACGGCAGTTTCGGCAAAGGAAGCAGGAAGCAGTGCCGTTTCTGACAATGTGGTGCCCCTGTGGCTGTGGGCACAACCGTCCGGAGGATCCTTTCCAAGATAGCTGAGCTCGCCTGTCCAAAATCCCCAAAGCCTTCAGAACACCACCCAAAAGCCACTCCGACCACTCCCACACAGCCTTGACCCCCTCACCAGCCCTCACCCCTCCGACCTTCAGCGCCCGGCGCCGCTTCTCAGCGCCCGTCGCGCGCGCGCGCGCCTGGAGGGGTTCTGCTTCTGCATCACGAAGTCCGCCACCGAGGGGTTGTAGAAGTCGCCCTGCACCGTGGAGAGGCGCTCCTCCCACTTTCGCACCTCACCTCAAAAACGGACGACGGGGTGCAAACCTCCGACTCCGACCCTCCGGTCTTAAGGCGGTGGGCTCGGCGGTGTTCGGGTCTGTGGTGTCCAGGAAGCTGTTTGACTGCACCAGGATGGTTTACCCACAAGGGCATTTTCCTAACCAACCTAACACAAACAAGGGAACAAAACACCTAGGCACTCAAGTTGTCCTCTTTGTATTCTCCCAAGACTGATCTGTCCAGGTGGCGGTTGGCGTTCACCCAGCGTCCATATGGATCCTGCTTCTTCAGCTGTTGATCGAAGTTCTCCAAATCCATGGCCTCGTCCTCATCCTCGCCTAAACATCTCAAGCGGGTGGAAGACCGGAACCAAATGAACGACGTCGACGTTCTGCCCCACCATGGGTAGGCGCGGAATCCATGGCCGACATGGCTGACGTGGCTGACATGATCATGCCACACTTGTGATGTGCTGAGCCCGGGGAGCCCGGGTCAGTCCCCATAGGTCCCCCATGCTCAACCTAAGAAGAACCAAGCATCCTTCTACACATACACCCTCGACTGTCCAAAGACAAAAAGGACATTCGAACTCAGAACACTTATAGACTAGACATGACTAGACCATTCTTTTGGGCTCTGACTCTCAGGATGCCTGTGTAAGCTTCGTTCAAGTCTTTCTTCGGGCGCGTAACCGGGCGCCTCTGACGGTTATATATTGCAGGTGCCTATGTGGAAGGTCCCCTGGCCGGCTGGGTAGACTAGTCTATGTCCCTCCTTGCCTGGCTCTCGAGAGGTCTCCGACCCGCACCCAGCACACAGAACCGGCCCCCCACTCGGCAGGGCCCCACTTACACCACTGACACCGCACCTACGGTCCCAAATGTCAGGAACCGAGGTCTACTGGGCCCTTGGAGGTTTTTCAGGGCGCCTATAAGGGCCTATAGGGCCTATAGTCTTATTGAATTCGTTGGAGGCGAGGATCTGTTCGATTTCTTCCATCTTTCAGAGCCCTGGTGCCCCCGCCACCACCTTCCCACCACCTTCCCCCCACCTGAGCGAGGCCACGGGCCCTCGGGCGTGCGCGTGGTGCGCGTGCGGGCGCCCACGGTGCGGGGCCGGCCTTTCTCCGCCTTCGCCTGGCGAGCGGTGGAGCTCAAGTGTGCACATGCCACATGCGTGCGCCTTCAGTGCGGGCGTTCCAAGAAAAAGGCGGACAAGCTTCACATCAAGGGGTTGGAGATTGAAGAGCCCCAGTCAGTCAGGAGAATCAACAAGCATGGCCCCATCGAATCTGAGCAAGGTCTTGGACCACTTGCTATCACAATGACCTTGCTCAGGAGTTGTTAATGTGTTTATTGCCTCTTTTGCCTGCTCCTCCAACCCATTTTCTGCCATATCAACAGAAGTGATGGAAGAGATTTAGCAAGCTCTTTCGCTACAGCTATGTCGTGCTTGTCTAAACAAGTATATATATACCTCTCATACCAACAAAAGTTATGGAAGTTGAGGATGGTTCATTCTGCCGAGCAGTCTTCCACTGAATGACTTCCACATCAAGTGCCAATCGATTGCAAGGTCTTCATGAGAAATGAAAATTGAAATCCTACTGTAGGTCCTACGAGGCTGCCATTAGAGTCAGTCAGAACAGCTATGCGATGCAAAGCCATACCGCCAACAAGCTGGATGGATCTTGCATCCACCACTCTCCCCCAGCGCGTCGCGTCTTCTCCGCCTTCGGCGCTCTGCTCGTGGGCACGGAGTGAGGCCGCATCTTTGGTGGCTCCAAAAGGGCTGTGGAGCCAAGGACAACATCAAGGGAGAAAAGAATCTGTCCATGTGGTCACAAGACTCGTCAGTAGCACAACATAACACAACTGGATGTCAAGACGTTTCCGTCCAGAATTGTTGCTGGATCCTGTCAAGCACACCTTTTGGCCAGGCATGAGCACGCTCACTCACGCTCACCACCGATGGCCCTCACGCCACGGTGAATGTGTGGGAGAATCAAAGCTGACACCAAATGGGTGTAGCAGCTACCACCCACCTGGAGCTCTCCGGTTTTCATGGGAGTGGCGACCTCGAAAACGACGCCCTCTGGCCTTTGGAGCCTAGTGCCAGGCCCCAGGCCCGGCGCGCGGCGCTTCACAGGGCGGATTGGATCTGCAGCGCTGCAGGGAAGGTCATCCAGGTGCGTCCCATGGCACTGGGCAAACCCGTGGTCATGCTCAACGCATTCCGCAGGCGAAAACCCGGTGGTGGAGCGGTATAGGAGGCGGCCATGCTCTGCAAGACTGAAAACCTCAGCCGTTGGGAGACCGGCCGTTGCTGTGGGGTTGGGAGACCCGCAAGCAGCAAGTCAGGAGCGAACCCTTCGACATAGCAAGCATTTTGGGAGGTGAGATGTTCTGCCACCCGTCAAAACCAAAGAGACGTTGCTGAGGAAACGCGCCCCCCCTGCCCAAAACGCACCCCGAAGGCGAGATGGTGTGACAGCAAACGCTCGGAGACCGGGGGTGTTCAGTCTCGGCTGGGCAACTTCAAAGTGGAGGCCAATCTCGGGCTTGGAAACCCGAGATGGACAACGGCAACACACCGGTCCTCGAAGAACCCACTCCGCACTGCTCCGCACTGCCCGCCCCACCTTGCCTGTCTTGAGATGTGCAGCCCAGGCCACGCACTCTTAAAGGAGCTGCGACGGAGGTCCAGCTCTAAACGCTCGGGAAGGTTCTGCATGTCCTGCGCGGCTGGCGTTGAGAAGGGCTGATCCCTAAGACATCACCGCCCTGGCATCCACAAACGTTGCAGGCTCACAGCCATCCGCCATGGGAAGTTGGGCATGCTGCTTGCACCGGCCCTTGTGAAGCCAAGTCAGTGTTCAGAATGATTTTGATGGCAAACGAATTTGCAATTGAAAAGAAATCAAACTGGTTCAGCATCAGTTTCCAATCTGGAGGATCTTGTGCCCATTCCAGGCAAATCGCCGCCGCGGACCCTGTCCTTTTCTCGAATCACATAGACCCGAAGCTGTTGCCGATTGGTGGTCGTTCGGTCGTTGACCTACACACGAGAGACGATGGACCGAGCCCGGATGTTTGGAAATCGAAACTTCAACAATGCCATTGCCCAACGTTTTACCAGCCAATTCATGAAATTGAGCGTCTTTCACCCGCCACAAAAAGAAAAATCACTAACAAAGACCCTGGCCAAGTGGCCAAACCGTAGAGGAATTGCACCACGTTCACACTGTTCCCACAAGCGGCGGCCACGTGCCCATAGGTGCAGCAAGCCTGGCAACAAACCCAATGTAAAGGTTTCGTGCCAAATGCCACCAGCCACCCGCGGCAAATCACTTCAGCAACATCCAATCTCGACTGTATACCGGCACCAGGCAGTGCACAAAAACAAAAACACTGCTATAACTACTGCCCTCTACCCCCCTACACGGTGTGCTTCATCCACGGAAACATCCTGTGATCCAACAGAAACATCACTACACCTTTCAACAGGGATTTTTGGCTGCCATCTCTATCCACAAATCTATGTAATGAAGTCTTCGACATGTTTACCACGCAGCGCCTCGTGATTTTTGGTTTCTGCCTGGAATCCACCCTTCCCAATGTTTTCCTGCGGCTGTCCTCCATGAGATGCGCATTGATGTTGGCCATCACCAACCAGCCATCCCCACCCAGTTCTAGCAGTGGCGCACTGGGCGATGCCTTTTCGGCGGCCTCGCCCAGCAAGAAAGGTCGTTTGGTTTGCTGCAATTGGGCCTACGGACCTTAAAAAAACCCTCCGGCGACACCCGCACCGTTCAGCCCTAGAATTACTCAGTTGCTCCCTTTCATTTTCCAGCAAACCTTCAGCCCTAGAAAACAAGGTCCTTGCAGGTGTCACTGCAAAAATTGCATCAGACTTGCTACACCCAAATTTGCAACATGTAAAAACAAGTTGTGTGTCACCCCTACCTGGCTCACCAGTTCCACCATTTTCTCATTGTCGAACATCAAAGACCGCAACGTGCGGGTGAAGAGCGTCTGCACGGAGATCGTGCTGGAGAAATCGGCGCCCTTCTTTAAACCATCAAGGTTCACCTCGGTGCCCGCCACACAATGCAAGAAAGAGGTTGGCGAACGCACGCATACAGTTGTTTACAGTACGTGGCCTTTTTCCCACGAGCACAAATGGGTTCCCAACAGCCACGCGGAAGAAGGAAAAAACATTAGGGACCGGGAATTACAAAGCTTGCAAAGCTGTGGCAAAAATAGGTGAAACAAAGCACTCCAACACAAATACATAAGAATAGAAACCAGCCGGACGTGCAAACACACTACGCGTCAGACAGCACAAAAGTCGAGAGTACCAAGAGTAATACCAAGAGAGGTTCGAAAGCCCCTTTGGGACTCGGCACAGTCCCATGCATCAGAAGCGAGTGGCAAAAGGATCAGTTCTACTTATGGCGGCCTCTTTGGTGTTACAAAAAATTGCTAGTCCGATATAGCAAAAACAGTGTGAGGTCCAAACAGCAAAGAGCAGGAATCCTTGCAAGTTTCAACAACCCAATCTGCTCGGAGCCTACCTGGTCTCCGAAAAAACGGAGTTTTAACTGTGACACCGTCAAATTCAAGAACAACTTGGACCATCGGATCCGAGCTAGGTCGCCAGGCGCCCTCACAATGTGACCAAATAGGCGGCATTTGGTTTTCTTCCATGTCGTTCAATTGTTCCTGCAGGATGCTAGCGTACATTCGAGCGTTGGTTTGTTCCCGATCAATGAACGTTGGGGGGATCCCCAAATTGTTTCTGAGAGATTCGTACTGAATGGCATTGAGGCGAGATATATCAGCAGTAGTTAGCTGTATGCAGTCAAGACTATAAAAAATAATGTTGCAGACTTGTACTTTCCAATTTGGCACGGGTTGTAGTTTTCGACCAAAATATCTTAAGCCTGTTACACGTTGCTGTGCAGTCGCTCAGTCTATTGGAGGTCCCTGCCAGGTTGTCAAAGGAGTCCGACAACAGGGCGCCCAAGTATGTAGCAGACCCTTCCGTGGAATCTTGGCACCTTGTGCTGGACCCAATGGTCGAAATGAACGGAGGAATTGCAGTTGGTTTGAGGTAAGATCTACGCACTTGCCATAGTTCAGTTTTAACCCAAAATATGCCGAGTGTCGTTCGATAGCATGTAGTAGGAACATCATGAGTGCAATGAGTATTGGCATTAAACTGTCATCAGCATAAACAAAACCTCAGCAAAATGAATGACGTTAATTGGTTGCTGTTGTCTGGGGGTGTTCGGTTCCTGCTTCAAGTCCGCAAACAATGCTCCCATGACCAAACTGAAAAATATGGGGATAATAAGCATTCTTCACGGATCCCTGCACCCTCGCACTTCCAAGAGGAAACTTGCCCATTCATAGACACCTTGAATTTGGGTTCCCGATAGAAGCTTGGGATAAGACCGGCTACGCGGTTTCAATCATATTATCTTGGGACACTTTAGCAAACGCCTTTGCCCAATCAAGAAAAATGAGAGTCCTGGCACTGCGCGATTTTTCAGAAGGGTCTTGAATACGTCTTGCTAAGAAGATTGCCTGAGCGGTGCTTCTCGCTTTCCGAAGGCCACATTGCGTTTGCATGAGCCAGCTATCCAGACCTTTGTCCAGCCGCCCTTTCATTAATGCAACTGTAAGCTTGTAGACAGAAATTAGAAAGGAGACGGGGCGAAAAATCAGACAGCAACGAGGAGCCGCCCATTTTTTCAATGGAAAGTACAACCGCATTGGGATGATGGGGTGGCATGTTCCCAGCTGCTAGCCATTTGTTTGCGGCAGCAAGGACATGTTGACGGTTGGTCTGATCCAGCCACTTGAACCATTCGGAGGGTACGCCGTCAAATCCGGGTGATTTATGGGTTTTTGCGCGGGAAAGAACATAGTCGAGCTTGGCCATGGTGAAAGGAGAGTCAATGGATCCTGCTTGAAGGCCTTGCATCCGGATTCTCCGGCCTTCCCCATTGCTTCGTAACGAGCTATTCAGTTGTTTTTACCGCGCCTAACTCCCATCAGCGTCTCGAAATTTCGTGAAGTGCGGTGTGAACTCGGCTCGAAATCGTTTCAACGATATCCGGAATGGTCAAAAAATTTTAGTTGCCTAAGTAAATGCGATTCTCTATCTTAACACCCTTGGGGAGTGATGTTACGATCAAGGGCTTTTGCTGCTGCCCAGCCCTGGTCCACAACCGCTTCCCATTTCTTTTCAAAAAGGGACCCGATGGCAGCTGAAATTTAACCCATTTCTGCGCAGGGTGACTACATGGGAGTTTTGCTGGTGCGCTGTGGGGGGCAACGGAATTTAGGTCGTCAAAAGCGAGCTGAACCCCAGCGTTTGGTCTGGACCGGTTGGCAACATCCTGAGCAACAAGCGCGTTATAATGGCTGAACTGTGCTAGGCTTGGTGTGTGAAATTCGGGTGTTGACCGGTTGAAGGCATGTACATAAGCTAAAAAGCGTTCAGGATAGCGTTCTTTCACCGGGAGATTCCAAGAATAAAGTCGAATTGCGCGTACTTGTGACAAATAACAACACGTTCAAAATACGATTGAAAAAGGCTGCATTGGTTTTCTGAACACAACTCGACCATGTTGGAGCGATTGGCAAGCTGTCGGTCACTCAAAGAAGTCAGTTCGCGCGTGCTAAATCCGAAAGTATATGGTCCTATAGCAGCCCCCTTGTTGAGGAGCGCTTCAAGTGGTCTAGCATTGAACTCGCCACAGCCAATTTTAGGGAGTAGGCATAAGCTGTGTCCAAGACAGTGTGAAGTTCATGATAGTGCGTTGTTTTGCTCTCAGCATCTTGGTGGCGCGCCTGAGGTGCATGTGGAAACAACATCTAAAACACGTGGGGGTTGGACAACCGCGCTTTACCAGAGTGACTGAGCTGGCACGGTTTTTATCGTCGGGTTTCGACAGAATTGCTATTGATTTTCACAAAATGTCGACATGGTGGCCTTGCATCAAATGAACTAGGCGCACTCGATTTGACAAAAAGGACAATCCTCTGCATTTTAGCAAAGCTATTTTTTAAAAAAAACTAGGTATTATTCAAACATTGATCCTTTGCAGCATTGATCCTTTTGCATGTAGGTAGCTGTCCCATATCGCGATGAGGTCCTCGCCGTGACTAATCTTCTGCGCCCAATCAGGTGCAAGATTGTGAAATTGTCTGGTCTAAATAAAATATTTTGATGCCAAACCACGTACAAATGTTGTTCTTCCATGATTGAACAGATCGTACTGGTTTTGATTCGTCCCAAACACTTCGCCCAGCCCAAACAACATATTATCTTTTTTGTTGGGTCAATCGGCCCATGCTTAATCCCCAACAGCTAGGCGTTTGGACGCGTGTGTGTTGCTGAACAACACGTTGGCTTGTGGCAGGCAAAACAGTGTGTGCAACGTGATGTAGAGTCATCGGAGGTTCGCTGATCTCGGATTGCACACACACCTGGCAAACGAGTTTTGACCGTTTCTGCCAGGCAGAACGCCAATATAGGACCTACGACTTCGCCAGCTAGCTGCTGTGGGTAAAGTATGTTTGGTTTCACTTGAAGCACCGGAGGTACCCTAGCGCTTCCGGTGATCGTACTTGTTTGGCGGACGGTGGCAATGTGAGCAACGTATTTTCCGGCTCTCCTTGCAGTTTTTTCGACTACGATATGGCCAGTGCGCGTGCCTCTCACGAAGTGGAGTAAAGTATTTCCTGTCCACTGGAGGGCGGGGCTACATACAGAGTCCTATCTTGACCCTGAGGGACCGCCATGTGAAACTTGAGGCCGAGGGTAGGTGACGAAAGCTAGCAGGGGTGCATCCGGACTGGTGGGACATCAAGCGGAGTGAAGCAAATGCTCATGAGGTAAAACGTTGTGAACATGTAAGACACACAAACAGCAATGACACAGCCAACCTTAGAATTGAAGTCCCCGATAATTAAGGAAGCGTGGCTGGACTTTGCCACACTGTTCGATGCATCCGATGTGTTCATGAACCTGTGAGCTTGTTGAATCTGTTGCACCGTAGCCCAAAACCTCCACGGAGGAGTTGAACCAGTGTGGATGCCCTAAGAGGTGCCCAAGAGGTGTCCCAGAGGCAAAACAAAGCTGCTTGCATGATTTGTTTGGTTTCTTCTATCGATGTCGATGTCATGAACGTGTGAGCTTGTTGAATCTGTTGCACCGTATCCCGGAGGAGTTAAGCCAAAGTGGATGCCATAAGAGATGCCCGAGAGGTGTCCCAGAGGCGTCCGAGGAGGGAGTTGAACCCACGGGGGGGAGGGGGGGGGGGGGGGGGGCCCCCCCTACATATGAAGTTTTCACGTGATTCGGCGATCCCGAGGATTCCAGCCCCTCACTTGCTAAAGCAAGGACAACTCCAGCTAGCTGGTGCTAGCTTTCGTGAAAAACACGCTCCAGAATCCAGGCGCGTCTTTTAGATGTTTCCAAACTAGTTGTTCCAGCATGGCATTTTTGAAACAAGCTGTGTACTCAGAGCAAGCCGAGACAAGCTTAGAAGACAAGTGGAGGTCAAGTGTATGAAGAAGGGAGGCAAGTGGGGCACAAGTGTAAAACCCCACACAGAAGAACATCTATGAACCAGAAAACAAGCAAAGAGACAAGTAAAGAGACAAGTGGCGACAAGTGTCACACCATCCAGCCAAGTGTATCCAGAGCAGGCAAGGAAATATCAGCCGACGAACGCAAGCCCGGAGACAGTGCCAAAATCATTCGGCCCGGGCATGCAACCCCGCAAAAAAGGAGTCATGTTCAGGGCAATGTCGTTGCAGGCACGCAGGGGGATCAAACGGGGGAGAAACGGAAATATGTGGTTCGTTCTGCGCGATCCGCGCGCGTGGTTCTGGGACTTCGCGTGACCTTTGCGCAAGGTCCTTTCGAAAGAAGAAATTGTCGGAACCCTGCTCCTACTTAAAGCCCCTTGGCCTTCTTGCTTCGCAAGCGAGCAGCACTATTTCCTTTCGACCATGTGAGCAGCATCATAGTAGAGGAAATTGCATTTCATAAGCCAAAGCTTACAATGTGACAACAGGAGGAAGTGTCGGTGAGAGAGATGTGTGTGGATCATGTCTAGAACACCAAGGGCCCGCAATCACAAGGAGTAGTTGTTAAAACTATTGAAAGATACTTTTGTGGGGGTGGCCTAGCCACACTGAATATGACGTTTTCTGGCAACCATGTCAGGGAGGAGCCGAACATGTCGCACGAAGTCAAATGCGATTGTTGTCCCGGAATTTGAGAAAAGTACCTCCACCCATGGGGTTAAGTCGTGTTGCTTCGTAAAGCGTCGTCTTTTTGCAGCGTGCCCCTACGGAATCGCATGTTTATAGATGTTCTATATGGACTGGCGGACGGGTATCATGACGCAGGTGTCTCGCAAACAGGACGCCGTTCGGCACCAAAAGGTTACCTCCCAACAAATACACGCCGCGTTGCAAGAAGGAAGGTGCATTGCTCCATGAACCGGCCCTCCCGCACAGCAGCTGCAGCTAATTCAGCTTGGTGCTGCCACTTCCGGCGTTGCCACAAAGCATATAGTAGTCCTGAAAAATGGACCCCGCTTCATATGCATACTGCATGCCGCGGGGAGGAAAAGTAACAAACTGACAGACACTTGCGGCACCGCACACAAGCGCTTACGGCCGATTTTGTTTTGTTCGTGGATATTTTTTTTGAATTGGTTGTGGCCCATGGCCTGCAACCGGCGCCACATCCCGATATCGCCTCAAATAATTCCGAGCAAGCCGGCCCAGAGCCACCACGCGCTGCCAGTTGTCTTCCGACCCACTCGACATGGCAGAAGCAGTGGCTAAAAAACAGGACCCCAACTTCACAAGTACCTTTGATACTATTTCTTTGCTTGGGATGAATCATATACAAAGGGCTGATGCATGTGGGTGGGCATACAGCCCGGCCACGCCATTCAGGTCAGGGTACATTTCAAGAAGCATGAACCGGAAAAGTGCCCTGCTTGTCGGCGCGGAAAGGGTTTGCCCTTGAGGTTTTGTTCCTGCTGCTCTACTTAAACCATTTCTTTGTGTGACACGCCATATCTTTGCTTGTCTCTAGCATGCCTGGCTCATAACCACAACTGCGGCAGAAAAAAACCGTGAAATCAAAAAAAAATGCAAAAAAAAACGCGGCCCCCTAAATTTAGCCGCCCCTCCAATGTCCACGCAGTTCGTGCAACGTCCGGCCTGAAAAATATAATCACGAATAACGATGTGTTCTTGGTCTGCGCGGTGTTCTCGTCAAGAAGTTCCCTCCCCAAAATATAGAAAATCATCTTGCCCCAGCTCAGCCCCCTTTGAGTAGATATCTCCAACCTTGGTTTGCCCTTTCTGGTGGTAAAACACACTCTCGCAATCCTTTTGGTGTCGGCGCCGCCTAGGTCGCTGGCCCAGTCGGCCCTACCCACCGGGCATAGCTATGCCAACCTCACTTACAAGGAGGCAGGCTTGAAATTAACGCAAGCCGCACGAAAACAGCGGCGTCGGGTCGGTGATCTTGAACTGTCATTCATTCCGCTCCACAAACAGTACCGAAATTGAAGCAGTCCAAGCCGAACTTCGACCACTCATCAAAGCAAGAAAGCCCCAGACTGGCAAGCCAACCACCACTTAAGGAATCTAAGGTTGCCAAGGCAACCGAACAAGGAAAATGTCGCAATGGCACGCAGTCTTTGTGAATGTTTGGCGGCTGGCACAGGCATGCTGCTTCCCAAACCGCCAGGGGCAGGAGCAACCGGAGCGACTTGCTGGGATCAAATTGGAAGTGCTGCCAAAGATGTGTAAAAACCAGCGTCAAACATCTCCGATTTCACCATTTAAACGGATTGAGATGATTTGAGAAGCGTACCACCTAGTTGAACCTTTTTCAAAAATGAAGCCATTGGAACAAATCAGCTGAATAAGAATCATTGTTGATCATCAGACACGTGACACCGCAGTGAAAAGAATGTGCCTCCCAGAAAGTCGTGTGGGGCAATGAATCCATGGGGCACCCAGACAGGATGTGGTGTTTTTTCGTTGGATGATTGCCCACACGTCGTGGCCTGCCTGCGCTTCAGACCTGTAAATTCCGATGTGTCCGCGGAGTCCCTGAAAAAGATACTACCTTAAGTAAGTAGATTACAAACGTCCTAAACACAAAACAAAAGCACGTGCAACAGCTCACAAGCAACGCGAAAGCACTCGCACACCATTTACGCGTACAAAAGGCTATGAGGTATACCTGCATACAAGCTATTCCCATGCGAGACACTGAAAGTGTCGAGCTTAAACGCACTCAAAAATGCACAAAACTGTTCAAGAAACATTCACACTACAAAAGCTACAAAGACTTCTGTTCACAAAGCTTCTAAACATTGTACATTCCGTGAGCTATGCTCTCCAAAGCTCTCAAAACGCTTCGAAACACAAAGTTCCTGCAAGGAACGCTTGCTCAAACATTGGAAATGTAAAACCTCACACCTAAGGCTTCACAAAGCACTTAGACATGAACGCTACTGTTCTCAAAACAGTTGCTCTGCATAGAGTTGGTTGTAAACTTTCACACCCCCTTTCGAGGTCATGTGTCAACATCATTCTGCTGCTTGGGACTTGGGACTCTCCTCACGCCTCGTCTTCAATCACTTCTTGCAGAAATGAAAGCGCCACAAAGCACGGCCCTTGGCATAGCTGCAGAACGGTGTCAGGTGCAACACTGTTCCTTTCTCAGTTCGGTAGTATGACTCATGCATATCAAGCCAATCTGCGAACACTGGCGGGACCAGATCGTTCACCTCAACGCTCATATCTCTTGTACTCTTCTTTCCCATTCACTCAAGCTGATTCCTCGAATCAACAATCACTTGCACTGAACGGCAACAAAGCTTCGTCAGAATTCCTCCAACGAACATGCCACTCATAAAAATGAGAATACATAGACATAGAATCTCAAACTCTCGCCCATCCACATAAGCAGTAATTGCAACTGCCTCCATGAACGGCGACGAAACGCAAACGCGCGCCCAAATAGCTGCGGATACAAGCAGTCAGCTAGCACAGCAAGCACAGCGAGCTTGAACCACACGCAAAACAGAATAGAATAGAAATTGTATTCACTCTGAATCTCCAGACCTCCATGGCTTTGCCAATAAGACCTTCTGGTCTCCGATTCCGATCTTCTCTTCAAGAGACATTCGACCGACCTCGAAAACCTCAGATTCATCAAATCTATCTAATTCCTCTGACCTTCGACATTCGACACTCTTCTCAAAGAAAACCTCGAAGACTAAGACAAAAGACACTCTCTCTTTTCGCGACGTCCTTTCGACTTGATCGAAGAAGCTGTGCTGCAAAAAGAGAAAACACCCTTCATGGTGCATGATCCATCTCGGACCCTTCTCAAATCCGGCAGCATCCGCTCATGCACGTCCAGCCTCACTCCTCAGAAACCGAACGAAGTATCGAGCGAACACACGGGTGTATCGTTCTGTCTCTGTCCAATTGACATTGTTGAAAGCTGCGTGCTCGACAACGCACTGACTTTGAACCTTTCCGCTAACCTATTTGCGACCTCCTTCCTATTCGACATAAACCTGAACCTCTTTCCAACCGGTTGTTGACTTTTGGTAAACATCTTCATTGAACATCCGTTCACGATGCCTTCAAACTCTAGACGCTGGTTCGACAACAGCTTTCTCAAGACTTCTGACTTCCAGTAATGATTGTTTGCTGGTAGCTCTAGGATCTTGGATACCTCTCCGTGAACCTCCTCCACCTTCTTCAAAAGACAATCGACTGAATTGGCTAGTTCCTCAAAGATCTCGACGTTTCTCCCTGGACTGCTTTCAAGATTGGACTTCCCCCAGTACATGGTATAGAGAAATGTGTATGTTTGTGAGTCTAAATGTGAGCCACAAGGCCGTTTAAGTGATTTGTTTTATATTTTTTGTTTTTTTGACTTCACTATGTTTTTTGTTTTTGGCCAGTTTTGTTATATGATTTTTTTTATTTTTCATTTAAGTTGTCATTTATGCTTTTGTGTTTCTTAATAAAGCACACTGTTTTTCATCAAATTTCCTTGATGCTTAAATGTCATTGCCTCTTCAGGGTTTCTGTTTCTGTCCTGTTGTTCTTGTGTTGAAAAAATTGGTTTGCAAAGTGTTGGTTTCCAGCCTAGTATATAAGTTGAATAACTCACTCTGCAAAAGAAACTGCGCAAACCCTCTTCCAGCAGTCAAAATTTGCCTGCTACAGGCCCTGGACATATGTCAATGAACGCTGACCTAGCGCACTTTGCGTCCTATGTGAATGGTGTGGGTGCGACCGGTAAAGCTTGAGGCAAGGCTCGGGCCGCAAACCAAGTCACTTTTGACTGCGTCGTAAAAAGCCACACTTCTGCCGCCTAGACGTGGAAATGACCGCTTCCAGTGAAACCAGCAGGCAGGCACTCGACCAACAAACAAGGCAGGAACACGACTGAGCTTCTGTCTGCCGCGCGTGCACACATGCCCCTTCCTCAGCGTCACAGGGCCTGCCACTTGGCGGTCTGCTGCCCGGGCCAGCTCCAGGCAACCTGGCTGGTAAGGACCAGGATGTTGTCTCTCTCCTCACCTTCATTGCGGAGCCAGCGCTCCATGCACCTGTAGGCCGCAATGGTGGGCCCCACCGGCGGGTCCGCGCGGGCTTCTTCCCCATGGTCATGATGTTCCCAATTGACGAAGCGCAGTCCGGTAGCAGTCGCAGAATTGAGGTGGTGCCAATGTGCCATTGGCCGTTCTTTTGCCCACACAGCATTGGGTATTGAATGCTGATGAGTGGCTTACATCTCTTGTACCCGAGCACTGGTAGGGAGCATTGATGAACCCGGTGACTCCTGACCGGGCTGCAGCACTGGTGGCTTGATGAGAGTGAAAGGAGTGCCCTGGTCGTGTGATGGCGCACCCCAGCCGCTAGTGGCCCCTCCGGCACATACTCGGCACGTCTTTGTGGGCCGCCTGGAGGCTTGCTCCTAATGGCGTACTGCTAAGGTGCTCCTCTCTGGTCCGCCATCTGGTGCCCAACAAGGCATGACCAGCAGTCTGGGCAAATGGGATTGGCGGCCTCCAAAAGAGTCAACAACAAGGGGGCCAGGTGTTGTGGTTCCATGTGCCTGCCACGTAAAATGACCTTTTTCGAGGCTCCAATATGTAGAATTTGTCGCAAGAAGCCCTTAGTGCAGAGCACTATTTGGGAAACAACAGAACCAAAACCCATCCGAACCGAAGGCAACTTCGCAAACATGTGGATCCCTTTCAATGTCCTCAAAAGCTAACGAACGTCAATGAGGGGGAATCATTTGGTTTGGTGGGTTTTTGTTTGTTTTGGGTCGCTTGTGTTCTTTTCCCTCATCATGTCGTGTTTCCTTCTTCCCTTTCAATAATGACCTGGGCACTCCGCCCATAGGCGTCCACACTCGTGGAAAAAAAGGTCTTCATGTTCCGACCAGTTGGAGGTGCACACTCTCGTTTTTTTTGCAAGGGGGAAGGATTGGAATGTAGTTTGTGCATGAGGTGTCTGAGAACACCTGAAGATGTTTAGACTTTGCTCTTAGTTGTTTCCAACTGTTTTTAGAACCTTTGTGAAGCGTAGAACTGTTTTGAGTGTGGTTTTGCATGAACCTTGGAGAACGTTTGTCACTTTGGCTCAAGTGTGCGGCGAAAAGTGTGTGTGTCTTTTGCCTGCTTTTTCTTTCGTTTTCGACTCGGATCGTTAAGACACTTGACTGACTAGGTGTTTTGAGCACGAGAGCTTTTGATTTTCCGTCAGGAGTTTGTGTGTCAAACTTTCACGTGGTAGCGGAGCTTGTGTTTGCTTCCT